TGTTGTGATTTGGCGCTATATAAATAAAATTGAATTGAATTGAATTGAGTAGCAATGAAAATGAGGATCTGGCTGCAAACCGGAGGCACGGAATCGAATTTGCAACTCCTGCTCCAAAGGTGTGTAAGGAGGAAGAACAAAACAAAAGCCCCACCCCGCCCACACCCCGGCACACCGATCCCAGCTCCGGCCTCTTTAATGAACTCAATAAACTTTTTTTCATGGCTCTGAAGTCTAAAAACATACAAATAACAATTTTTTTACTTATCACAAAAGTTTAGAAAGTCCTGTGTTACAGCAGCCAAGGTATTAACCACTCCCTCCAACAGAGTAGCTTCTATAAAGTAGAGCTCAATTAAATAAAAGCTAACTAAATCAAAGAGTTCATCAGGCTGAAAATCACCCTAAAGAGCTCAATAGGAAAAAAAACTGAGTTCATCAAAGGAGCTCAAAGTATATAAAAGTCTTTATCTAAATAAAACTAAAGTGGGGGTGTGACCCCGGCATGGATGGTTCAGAAATATAAGGCTGTCAGACACAAAGCTGTGTGTTTCAGAAAACACGCTGCAGCTCCTTTCTGTCAGCTGTGAGGAACGTAGGTTTAGCAGGTGAGTGGTGCAATTGTGCAGACACATGATGTCAAGACTGCTCGCTCTGCCTGCAACGACCCACGTGATAAATAAATCACTGAAACCATTGAACTTCCTGTGTGTTGGGTCTGCTACCTGGTCCATACTGGTCCTGGTCCTTATGGTCTGGCTGACAGATCACTGACACACACAGCTCATCCTGGCCTGTTTATCTGGAACGTTTTTGTCCACACGTGGAGGTTATATTATCATATAATATATCATAATATAACATTTTTATCAAAATCTTTTTTTGTTATTCACATTGTGGGAGCTGTCAGGACTTTCTAAATATCTGCACAAAACATGAACAGAAATTCTGGTTTTATTTATGTGGTTTCATTTATTTATTTATTTTTCTGTTTTTTATTATATTTTAATGTTTGAGTGTTTGATCAACATTGAAATATTTAAGGTCTTTCATATGGGTGTTTGTTGAAGTTTGAGGTGGTGTGAACGAGGATGGTGTCTGAGCCTGATGACTGTCAGACTGTCTGCACAAGTTTCATGCCTCAATCTGGGCGTCAGCCGAGCTGTGTGGAATTTTTTTGGTCCATGTGTTTGATTATGCAAATATTTGATGCTGCATGTCCTTCCTGATGTAACCTTCCTCATTCTTCTGAGCCCCCGTAACCTGTGGGCCCAGCAGGCCACCTTTAACACCTTTAACATGGACGAGCAGGGAGGGGAACAGCTGGATCTACCTATACCCACGTTTCCTGATTTTTTTTTTTTTCAAATGTTTTGATTGTGATTTTTAAAAATAAAATCTTGAAAACCGGGTGAGGGTGAAAGGTGAAGTGCATGATGGACAGGCCGGCAGTCTGTGACAGTGTTAGTAACACAGCCGACTCGATTACGAAAAGAAAAAATGTTTTCATTTGTTGAGATGATCAGGAGTGAAGATGAGTGAAGATGAGTGAACTGACTACAAGGGGAAGGTTTTAGTTTTCAGATTTACCTGATTTATTGTCACAGTGAGGAGAATCAGGTCCTCATAACAAGACTGAAAGACAGCAAAGAAGAAAGTCAGAAATGAGTGTGAACTACAAAAACAGCCACTCATTCAATCTCACCAAGTGTGATTTCCACAGAGAAGAATCTCAGTGTTACAGACGAGGTTTCACCCATTAAAAGTGATTTATAATCACACATGATCAGGAGGCCCAAAGGCTCTTAAATACATGAATAAAAGTGAGCAGCAAATGGAGTTAAAATAACGACAACTAAACATGATTTGTGTGTTTCACACCGATAAGCTGATGAACATGATGATAACGCCAGTTTCAATCTTGCGCTGAGTAAAGGATGTGGCTGAATGCCAAATTTGATGGATTATAATCTTATTTGGCAATGAAGCAAACTGACGTATAAAAGGTTCACCTCGACACTCCTACAAACACAACTTCACCTTTGTGCTGGCATCATGCTGGGTCTGCAGAAATTTCTGTTTGTCCATGTTCTGGCATGCCTCGGACGACTTGGTAAGAACTGCAAGTCTTTGTTATTATACTCCAATTGTTTAATGGAACAGTAACTTCATTTTGGTTTCCTTTTTTCAGCACATGGAAGTGATATCATAAATGGTGAAAAAGCCCCAGAGAACTCGATGCAGTACATGGCCTCTGTGCAGAACAACAAGGGTCAACATGTTTGTGGAGGATTTCTCATCACTGAGGACTTTGTAGTCTCGGCTGCACACTGTAATGACTTGTGAGTAATCAAACATCTTCTGCTGTAATCTCTGACTCATGTCATTAAAATACATTTAGAAAATGTATTGATTACCTTTCACTGATTACTCCTTCAGCACCCCCACACACGTTGTTCTTGGCAACCACAATCTCAAGAACGGCAATCATCAAAAAATAAAGATTAAAAAAAAAATCATCCATGAAAATTATCAACAGCTTGGACTGGGTAATGACATCATGCTCCTTGAAGTAAGTACATGTTCGTGTGGTTTTATTATTCAAATTATAACTAAAGAACTATCGCATGAACATATATATTTATATTTTTTACTTCATGTCATGTCTCCAGCTGCTTTCAGTTCAGCTAAATGAAAGGGTACAAACAATTCAGCTTCCACGGGCTGAAATACACCTTGAAGAAAACCAAGTGTGTCAGGTGGCTGGATGGGGAACAACTAAAACTCATGGTAAATCTGTTGATGAGCTGATGGTGGTGAACGTGTCTGTCATTACATCAAAGAACTGTGAGGCCCAATGGCCTCGTCTTCCTGCCAATGTAATCTGTGCAGGTGGATATAATACAACCAAAGGATTCTGTCAGGTATGTTTTCTGTCCTTTCAGTTTAAAATGGCTCCTTGATTACAAATATATAAAAAACTGAATAAAAGCTGGTAAATTAAAATTCTTCCTCTTCACAGGGAGATTCTGGTGGTCCTCTGCTGTGCGACGGGTTGGCTGTTGGCGTTGTTTCTTTCAACTATAAAGAAAACTGCAGTTACCCCAATAAACCCAACATCTATACAGACATCTCAAAATACCTTCAGTGGATTGACGGGATTGTGAAATCCAGAAAATATGATGAGTAAAGAATTCACTGACAGTTTGGCTTGTATATTATTGAAATGTCAGGATTTCTGATTCTCTGTTAGCATAACCAAAAATGAAAATAAAAATATACCGCAGCATTAAACATGTGACTTCCTCATTTATTCTGAACATGTACATTTAAATAATAAATTCTTCCATATGATATATACTCAGATAATATTCATGTATAACTACATTAGTGTAAACCTACAATACAAATACAACAATATTTACTTCACCAACCAAAGGTCACTTTGCAGATGCATCAGAAATTAATTTAAATAGCTCAAAATAATAAAACGTATTTATTTCTCCACCCAATATAAAAATTATACACTTAAATAATATAAATAAAACAAACATAAATGTACCTCTGTAGTGTTCTGCATGAAGCATATGTATATTCCAGCACATGCACAGTTACACACTTTATTTTAAAGTGAGTGGGGAGTGTGTTGTGTAAATGATGCAAACAGATATCAAGAGAATTTGTATGGCAGTAGATTGATAAGAGAGACTACGTGATGCTAGAGGTGAAGCAGGAAACTGCTTCGTGTGATTCCTCACCGAATTCAAAGAAATGTTTGTTGATAGACATTCACCAAACTCCAGATAAAAACATGCTGATGGCTGCACATCGTTACACATCTGTAAACGTGTTTTCGCTGCATAAACCATAGCACACATAAGTGATATCACACATGATTAAATAACCCCAGCTGTTATGAAAGCAGACAGAAAGAACCCAAATTGGACACCAGCAGATTCAGTTTACATATCGATAAGGAGTGGGAAGAAGTGCATGCCTATTTAATCCCACCACTTTGCTATAAGTTATCAGTTTTTAATTATCTTTATTGTTATGAACCTCAACAACAACTATAAGCATGCTGCTAATTACACATTAGCAAACATAAGGTACATAAAATACAAAATATTGTCACATTATCTTGTTTTTAGAGCTTCATGATTACATGCACACATCAAAGCAAGTGCCTCCAGTTTTGGAATGTTAATTAAAACTCTGAATAAGTGTAACTACAGGGGTCCAACAAAGAATGGCCACGCATCATACTGATGTCTTCGGGGGGAAAAAACATTCTCTCTCTCTCTCTCTTTTATTGTCTTCAAACACTGTGAAAACTGAAGAAAACACAAAGTTTACAACATAAATGTCTTTCATCTTATCAAAGTCTCTCATGTTAGTGTCCATAAACAGTCTTGAGCCAGCAGAACAGAAAAAATGCATAATAGATATTACTGAAAATGTCCTGTACATGTATGCAGCATTTTATAAACAATATACATGAAAACCATACCTTGTGTGCCTCTTGGACCACATGCAGAATAACATTAATGTTGTGGCTGTAGCAGCATCTGTAGCTCTGTAGCTCCATGCTAGTTCTGACCCACAATGCCAGGGTTGTGCTCTCAGCCAAACTCTTGTCATGTGACCATTACAAACTCTACCTCAAACAAACTTTACATCTTTAACAAACCCTTATTTTGTAACCAGTTCAAGTTCAATCAATGCTGCATGTTTATTATCTTATCCAATACATTTTGTATTCTTTCCAACAAATAAATGAACTAAATTAAGCATGACTGTCTCAGGGACAGTTACAATAAGTATAAAGTAGTAACTAACTGAAGACAGACATCCATCCATTCATCAGTTCATCCATCTTTCCATTTCCTCCCGCTTATCTGGAAGCCCAGACTTCCAGCTTTCCAGCCATCTCCTCCAACTCACACCGGCGTTCCCGGGCCATTCAGGGGTTGTAAGCTCGCCATCAAGTCCAGGGTCTGCACTGGGGACTCCTCCCAGTGGGACATGTCTAAGACACCTCGCCTAAAAGAAGGCATCCTAGGCAGATGCCAGAACCACCTCAACCGGCTCTTTTTGCTGTGTAGTAGCTCTACTTTGAGCTCCTCTTGAATGACTGAACTCTGCACCCCCTCTCTGAGAGAGAGGCCAACCCCGCCTTGGAGAAAACTCCATCGCTTGTATCCAAGATCTCATTCTTTCAGAGCTTGTGACCGTAAGTGAGGCTGGGGATGCAGATCAGCTGGTGCATTGAAAGCTTTGCTTTTATACTCAGCTCTCTCTTCATCTTCATCATTGATCTCTTTCTCTTCTTTATATCTCATTAAAACTATATAGTTGTACCTCATCTTGAAGAGCTTTACACTCAGACTCTTCCTTTCACTCCAAGCACAGAAACACAAAAAGTATAATTTTCTTCTCTCTCAAGAAAAAATCACATCCAATAAACTGTCCGATAAAAGTCCATGAAAATCCCAAACACACTGTTTTTGTTGTCTGTGGAGTTTCTGACATATTCTACTGATTTCGTAAATTAAATCTCTTAACACCTAGTGTAACATATTTGATATAATTTTCCCCAGGGAAAACCTTAATAACTTACACAATAAATTTTTAAACAATTTCGTTAAAGGGCAAACATAGTAAATCTGATGGAAATTAAAATGTAATTAATTTTTTAGACAAATTTGTCAAATGGTTCAATAATATCTCCATTTTCAAAGAAATGTAATTTTCTGACAAATACATCATATTTCAGGCAGTAAGGAGTTAAATGCAGAGAGATGTATAAACACAGAGTGAAGAAGAAACATTCAATGCATGATGGGAATTCCCCAGCAAGCGGAGGATTCAGGGTCACCTGATCCAAAACTAGCTATATGCTTTAGTGAAAAGGAAAGTTTAAAGCCTAATCTTATAAGTAGAGACAGCGTCTGTCTCCTGAATCCAAACTGGAAGCTGGTTCCCCTGAAAACTCTAGGAGCAACAAGTAAGCCTGCAGTGTGACAGTGAAGTGCTCTAATAGGGTGATATGGTACCATGATTAAGATATCATAAAAAACTGATCACTGTTTTTTATGTCATACAATTCTATACAAGTGTTGTCTTGTTGTTCAGCTCCACCTTACATGTTGTGTAGTGATGCGCCACCTACTGGAATGGAAAGTAAATTATATTGGAGTGTGGCTCCTGAGCAAACCACTCCTGTGGTCTTGTGTCTTTGACCTACAGTGATCCGTTTCCTGTATTTAAGGTTGACTGTTTGCTGGTGCACCATGTGGATGCTCCCGTTATTCTAATAAGGTGGTGTAAAGGAAATATTAGCCACTGCTGTTAGCTTCCTTTGACAGTATTGGAATGCTTCTCGATATTTTGGGATGAATACCTCATTAACAAGTGTTTTTCAGCTAAGTCTCTCATCTGTTATTACCCCAAGAAAGCTCATCAATCAAGCTAAAGCGTGCTGTTATTGTCGCGGTACTGGGTCTGTGAGCCAGTGTTTTTGGTTTAAGTTATACTCTTTGAATTATTGTTTTCTGTATTATATTTATAGTTCCTGGTTGAGGTTTCTGTTCTGTTTCTGTGCCTCCCCTGTGTTCCTGGTGTCATGACTCTAGTGAAGGTTTAGTTCCATTCTCCTTATTTGTCTCCGTATGTTGTATGTTTAGTCTTAGTTCTGTGTCACTCTGTGTGCATTTCTACTGCATGTCTCCTGTTGTATTTCTCCACGTTCCAAGTTCCATGTTTCTCCTCACTGGTCTTCATGTTCCGTGTTTCCCTGTCTCAGGTTTCTAGTCACAGGCTTTTTGTTCCTTTGTATTATTCTTTTGTAGCTTCTCCCAGTTTAGGTTTTGTTAGTTTAAGTCACTGCCATGCCCTGCTTTTGTTTGCATTTCTCTTTCCAGTAAAAATAAAACTCACTCACAGTTAATCATTAGCGCCTGCATTTGGGTCCACACTCCTCACCGCTCCACAGTTATGACAGTTATTCATTTTAGTATTCATCTCATCCAATAAATTTGGGAATGAAAAATATTAGCATAATGGAAAAAGTATAATTTGTTACTACTTTGGGCACAATACACGTCATTGATATATATGTTGAATAATTTAGGGTCCAACAATGACCAATATAATCAGTGAGTTTCATTAAATCCATTTATTTTTGCTCACAACAGTGTTTTGTAATGTTGTTTGTTTTATCTGCAGCTCAGTTTAAAGACACTGATCAGCTCTGAGTGCATTAAACTTACCCCAACACATGTGTTTCAGATTGAAAGAAACAGGAACAACACTCAGTTTATTCCAGCCTGGTTCACTAATAGGTCTGTTTCTATCATGTCCTCCACCCCTTCCTCTTAAATTCTATATATATAAGTCATCCTGAGGGCAAACACAAGCATTCAGTAGTCAAGCTTTCTGAGCTGATCAAAGATGAGACAGGTTTGTATATTTAGGACAAAATAACACAACGATGTTTGGTTACTGAGCAGCACCTTTTAAATGATGACCATTACCAGGTAATGTGGGCGTGCAGACACAGCAAAGATCAGAAGGATCCTTCCTGTTCAAGCATGTTTATAGTCCTGTCAGTTCTGTTAAATGCATATCAGTTCATATCAATACTATTTAGAATGTCCACGATAAATTTAAGTTTTGGAAAACACACAAAGCATCTGTGAAATGGGTGTAAATCTTTTTTTTTTTTAATTACCCAGACAGTTATGGTTTTTCTTCCCTACCAGCAAATTTGCTCACCTGGTCTTCCCACTTTTGTATGATCTCTGCATCCTCCTCACTCATTCTTTGCTCTAACAATCACACAAAAATGATAATAACAAAAATAATCTGAGTTCTTATTAGAGCAGGTTGGAGATCCACATTTGATAACAGTGCAAATCGCTGCTTTATTATGTGAAATGATCACCATCAGTGAATGTGGGCAAAGCACAAGGTACCTTGGCATTATAACCGTGCTTCTGACTACATGTCCACTGTTACCTCTCAAGCTCTGTGCTGTCACACAAATGGTAAATGTAATAGTGTAGCAGAAATTATTGCAACATTGTAATTGAGCTGCTGCTGATAGGTAACGGCTTTAAATTCATGTAGAAAGAAAACCCTGGTTCTGTCACTACCTATAAATGTGCTGTAAACAGACCATGAAACTATAACCATAATGCTCATCAGCTCCTGGGCTGATAACTCGTGATATTCCAGCATGAGAATTTGCTCTAGTCTATATTAACAAGTGCACTGTAAC